GAGCGGCTGGGCCCGTGAGCCATGGCCACTGAGCCTGCGCGTCCGGAGCCTGTGCTCCGCAACGGGAGAGGCCACAATAGTGAGAGGCCCGCGTACCGCAAAAAAAAAAAAAGAATAGCCTCTATTTATCTCCTGAACTCCAAATATACAAATGATATCTGTATTTCTCTATGTGAACGTCCTAAAAGCAACTCAATCTCAGTCTTTGCTAAACCTGTATGTAATTTCCACACATTTTCTAATTTGCTCACCTTCTAGTGTTTTGCTCTTCCTCATCCAAGCAGGAATCCTCCTGTCTTAGATAAATCAACTCTTCATCATGTCATTACCATAACCCTCAGTCATGTCCTCACCATTTCTCTCTTGAACAACTGCAGCAGTTGTCCTCCCATTACCTGTTATGCCCCCTCCAAATGCCTAATTCATTCTCTGCATTGCTGGAAGTAATCTCCTTGAACTAAAAATCTAATTATTTAGGGCACACTCTCCCAAACCTGAAGAAAACTTTTAAACTCCAAATGCCATATATAATTTTCTAGACTGGACTTTTGTGTAGTTTTAGGCAATACTTTAAAAAATAAAACCTAACTGATATTTATAAAGGATTTTTTAAAAATGAGTAAATGGTTGAAAGACCCAGATCAAAAGTTCTTTACTTTTTGTTAGTTCAAAGATACAGTTCATGTAAACAGATTCAAGGACAATCATAAATGTCTTTCACTCAAGAACTATAGGTTGTCCAGCCAATAAATAGTGTCGTTTTCGTAAATTAAAAAACAACAACAACAACACTACATCCATATGTTGAGACTAATGAAATAGTTTATTATTTTTGCCTTCACAGAATAGCACAAATTCATGGAATAGCAGTCATCAATACTGTTTCTAAATATGTATTTAAAGATATATATGTATAAAACACAACTACAATAAACTTTAATTTGCACTGGTTTCTAACTAAAAATCCAATGCTTTCCAATGTTTATGGCAGATTAAGGTAGGTCTATTGTGAATCAGTCATATATATAGTCTGTAGATTATCTACTATGACAAGTCTGAGCCTTTCAATCTACATGTTTAAACAAACTGCTGCCTTTGCACAGGCAGGTGGAAAGAATTTCTAGCTAGGCACGCACTAAGATGGGATCAAAGTTGTCGTAATACACTTTATGATACTATTTTAAATTAAAGAAAAATGAAGCTCAATTATTTCATTTTTTTAAAATATTAGTGTTCTTCATACACAGATCACTAATGCTGAAAACAAAACCAATAAAATAATGTTTAAAAGGGTTGCATGTTTCATTGTTTTTTTTGTGAGCAGGATTAAGTGTAACAGTTTTGTTGTAGTGTCTGTGTTATTGTTGATTCTTTCCTTTGTTTCTCAATTAAAACAAAAAAGAGCTGGTGGTTCAAAAGAAACTCATTTCTTTTCTCAACATGACTGTTGGGAAGATCCTAAGCAAGACTGAATCAATAATTATGATGAATCCTTTTACTTAAAAAAAAAAAATTAGGTTGCTTTACCCATAAATACACACTTGGAAGTAAAGAAATGTTTTGAAGAGATGCATTAGGCAAAATATTCTATCAACTTTTCAACTATGACTCCTGCTTGGCCTGAACTGATAGTGACAGACATGCCCTGAGGCGAAGCTGTGACAATAACATACAAAATAATAAAATGCTTAAACAAAGGAGGCAGAACTATTATGAAGAGTGCCCCCTGGGGTTGAACGGAGAGCCTTTTTCTTTCAAAACACTCTTCAAAATATTGTACCCCAATTTATATCAATAGACAGCTGGATGGCTGGGTGTCCAGATGGCCAGCTGGCTAAGAACTGGAACAAAAAACTGAAAAACACTTTCTCTTCACATATTACCTTTCCTCCACCCAAGCCTCTGAAGTGTTCCCAGGATTCCAGTTGAATATAAGTCATATTTTTGGCATACAGATTAAAAATCAAGATCACCATGTATGAGATAATGTATGTGAAAAGAACTATACCTATAAAATAACTATTAAGAGCTACTAAGAGCTATGCAAAAGACATTTTCATTACACATTTTAATAACCATGGCTTCAATACTCTGAACATTGTGTTGCTTTTTAAGTAAATTCATACTATAACCATCACATCCTATGTCGCTTTTAGAAAATACTTATGGAACTACTTCCTCAAGTTCTTTCTTTAAAACAAATAAAATTGGCACATTTTTCTCTCTATTGAAAGGGGGTTCTCATTTCCCTTTTTCCCATTTATGGGTTAGGATAAAAACACAAGTTGGGGTTTCCCTGGTGGCACAGTGGTTGAGAGTCCGCCTGCCGATGCAGGGGACACGGGTTCGTGTCCCGGTCTGGGAAGATCCCACATGCCGCGGAGCGGCTAGGCCCGTGAGCCATGGCCGCTGAGCCTGCGCGTCCAGAGCCTGTGCTCCGCAACGGGAGAGGCCACAACAGTAAGAGGCCCGTGTACCGCAAAAAAAAAACCCAAAAAAACACAAGTTGACATTTCTAACATAAAATGTTTCCCTTATCCTCTTCTTAAAAAAGGTTACTATAAATGGAGTCATAGGGACAATATCATTTGATATTTAATGATCTAATTTCATGCAACTAGAATTAAAATAATTGTTAATAAATGGAATAAATGTGTCCTCAAATATCTACAATATATTTAAAATAAAGTTTGAATTTTAAAAATAAAATATTCTAATGGAATTAGACTTGCTAACTCCTATTGTTCATTCTAAACACTTGCTAGAGTTCAGACAAACATATAACATTGTTTTCTTCGGTTGCAGTACTTTATAAATGGTTTTATTTTACCATTTACCAAACCTCTTTTGTTGAGTTATTCAAACTAACTTCTGCCAAGAACACTAGGAATTTGGTGATAGTGCTTCTTTTTGGAGAAAAACAACCCCTTTCCTCAGAAAATTGAAAATGTTTATCTTGGCACTAAAACCTTGTATTGAGCCTTCTGGAAAGTATTTTAAATTGTTGTTTTTAACCTAGACTCTGTGACTGAAACAGGAAAAGCTTCCGTAGCTCTGCACCAAAATACATATTTATAGGGTTGATTTTCTTTCTACACCAAAAATACTAGTTTGATGGCAGCAGTTTTCAAAGTATAATATCCTAGGACCATGCCTAACATTGGGCATTATCACTATATTCAAGACAATTTGTTTTTTAAACCTCAAAAACTTCTGATGTCTAAGAAATGCTAAATGTTGATCAAATATGCTATAAGTGCTATATTGGGAAGGACTGTTTCACTTAACTACCTGGTCTGTTAGGAATTTTCACACACAAAATAAATTTTATTTGATGCTGTAATTTCCTCCTGTGCATGCCAACAAAAGATATGTTTCTAAGTCTTTATCTTTTTTTTTTACATTTCTCCCACTAGGTATGCTTTAGCTTCAGATTAGACAGCATTAAGATAAATCCTTGAACTTTTTGCATTACTGTCCTAATAATGTGTCTGAATACAATTAAGAAATCTTTGGCAATTGATGAAATGAAAGAGTCATTGTTCTTAACTCCCCTACCAAACCCCTAAATTGCTAGAATATACGAAAGAGACTACAGGAGTTGTAAGGTGTATATGAAAGTATATTAAAAATGGTAGGTCATACAATTTCACAAAGACCCCCAGATAGCTGCAACGATTTTTCAGTCGCTAATAACTGACATAGAATACTATGCACTCCATCATGAATACGTCCTTCCCACCTTAAAAACTTCATCCATTTTTTTCCTTCTAACATCTTGTCTGTCCTTTACAAGAAAAATTACAGCACCATCATCATTTTATACTTGCATATAACATTTTTTATAGTTAAAGGAAGTTCAAATTATATCATTGTGTTTATCAAGTATTTATTAGAATGTTCTCACAGGAAATTAGTTGTTTAAACATTCTGCTATGGTTGAATTGCCTTATTTAGGTTAAACAAAAAAAGATAAAGATATCTACTAAATACATCTTACTAAAATCCATAACTGTTTTTGTCAATCAAGTGCAATTTTTTTTTTTTTTTTTTTTCCGGTCCGCGGGCCTCTCACTGTTGTGGCTTCTCCCGTTGCGGAGGCACAGGCTCCGGACTCAGCGGCCATGGCTCACGGGCCCAGCCGCTCCATGGCATGTGGGATCTTCCCGGACCGGGACACGCACCCACGTCCCCTGCATCGGCAGGCGGACTCTCAACCACTGCGCCACCAGGGAAGCCCTCAAGTGCAAATTTTAATTTTAAAAGCCTAGAACTTCCTGCTGTGATTGAATTCTGCCTATATCCAGAAAAATCAAGAAAGAGTCTATTCAAATGAGTTTAATAAGAGTGAAACAAATAGGAATTACTGGTATTACAGAAAATGACGATAATGAAGGAGTGGGCTCTTCCTAATCAAAAATCCAACTCCCATACTGTTGTGTTTTTATGACAATGACAGGCACCATTTTTACTGGCATTAAAATTCTGAGCCATCCTAACACTCCCCCACATTCCTCAGAGTCTCAGTATCAATGAAAAACGCAACTCTGACATAATGGACTAACTTGATATTTTACAGACAGTGATTAGTATGCTAGGTTACGTTCATAAAAGATTTAGATTAAGCCCTACCATCACTTTTTTCTCATTTAAATTTAAAATGTTGATTGTTTTATAAGGTGAGCGAAGAATATCTAAAATCAGGTCCACAATAAACAGAAATTCAAGATCTGAGGACTATTATTTACATATTCAGTTTTCCAAGATGAACTTATAAGCATAATGTGAAAAATCACATCTTCCTTCCCTCTCTTTCTCTGTTCACTAAGGAGCAGTGACTTATCTCTAACCACTCTAGAAAATAAAAAAAAGCAAACAAAAATTCATGTCACTTGTGGGGCATAATAATTTAGAAAACACTTTAGTTACACGGTTGATTTAAAAATTACAAAGGAAGAGTATTTTTTTCTATTAAAATAAATAGGTATAACAGAACATACCTGAAAAAGAACATGTACATGGCAGCTGTGATGCAGAATAAAAGGACCTATAACAAGGAGAAAGTACGTTACTTACAAAAGAACACTGACATCATCATTTGTGTGTCTTAGAAAGCAAAATACCCACTATTAAATCTTGTACCTGAAACAATTAAAAGATGTACGAAGCTAGTCATACACATATCACATTCTCTACCTTTCAAATAAGTCATATCAAGGCAATAATAAGTCTGTATATTTACACACACATATAAATAAATAAAATTATAAACATTATACAATATGTATGTGTGTACATATATATATATAACACTATATATATATATATGTGTGTGTGTGTGTGTATATAGGCTGGGTAGAGGGTAACAGGGTTCAAAAAGGAATAGCCTATTTAAAAAATTATATCTAAGAATTCCTCAAGAAGCAAGTAACCTAAGAACAGAGACAATGGCTTTTAAATAGTGAAGTCAGCAGAAAAATCATAAAGCTTATTAACTATTATATCAAGATGACCAGACTTTTAAAATATAAAACACAGTCCAGTTGTCAACCAATTGTAATCAATAAGAAAAGCTCCTAAAAATATAATCATCCTGTATGGGATATAGACTTCCTATAAAAAAATAAATTCCTCTAAAAGCAAGCATCAGAACACACAATAAATCTGGATTAAAGAAGCTTCCCTAGAACACGTCATATGAAAGACAAAGTATATTACTAAGATGTATATGGAAAGAATCCAAACCCAAGTCCTTACCAAAAGCTTAGTTATGCCAACAAAGTGGATCTCCATAAAATCGTTTTAAATCAGTAAAACGGAAGTTGTAAACTGTGTTCTTATGTTAACAATAAGAGTGTAAATTAAACACAAGGATTGTCAATGGCCTCACATCATAGACAAAAGAACAATCTTCAACTATTAAAAACTGACCACAAGGAACCATGAAAACAAAAATGGTACAAAATAGTGTTTAGCTATTTCCAACACAATTTCTAGTTGACTTAAGGAAAGTATAATAGTTTTGCTATTACAAATTGAGCTTGATAGGTTTGCCACCTTGGCTTAAGATAAGCATTATAAATACAATCTGAATGACTTAGAAATATATAAACCTACCAACCCAAAAGAGGATGGGCATCATACTCCCTGGCTTCAAACTACATTTCAAAGCTGTAGTAATCAAAACAGTATGGTATTGGCATATAAACAGAATAGAGAATGATACAGAATAAAAGAGCCCAGAAATAAACCCATGCATACAAGGTCAATTGATTTATGATAAAGGAGCCATGAATATACAATGGGGATAGAACAGTCTCTTCAAAAAATGGTACTGGGAAAATAGGATGGCCACATGCAGAAGAATGAAATTGGACTACTATCTTACAGCACACACAAAAATTAACTCAAAATGGATTAAAGGCTTGAATGTAAGGCCTGAAACCATAAAACTCCTAGAAGAAAACACAGTTGGTAAGCATAGGTCATGGTGATTTTTTAAAATCTTACACCAAAAGCAAAAGGAACAAAAGCAAAAATAAAGTGCAATATCAAATTAAAAAGCTCTACACAGCAAAGGAAACCATCAACAAGATGAAAAGGCAACCTACTGAATGGGAGAAAATAATTACAAATGACATATCGGATAAGAGGCTAATATCCAAAATATATAAAGAACTCATACAACTCAACAGCAAAAGAACAAACATTCTGATTTTAAAATGGGCAGAAGATCTAAATTCTTCCAAAGAAGACATATGATGGCCAACGGGTTCATGAAAAGATGCTCAGAATCAGGGAAATGCAAATTGAAACCGCAATGAAATATCACCTCACACTTGTTAGAATGGCTATTACCAAAGAGACTAGAAATAACAAGTGTTGGTGAGGATATGGAGAAAAGGGAACCCTTGTGCACTGTTGGTGGGAATGTAACTTGGTGCAGCCACTATGGAAAACAGTATGGAGGCTCCTCAAAAAAGTAAAAATAGAACTACCATATGATCCAGCAATTCCACTTCTGAGTATTTATCCAAAGAATTCAATGAAAACACTAACTCAAAAAGATACGTGAAGCATTATTTACAGTAGCCAAGATATGGAAACAACCTAAGTGTCCGTCAATGGATGAATGAATAAATAAATTGTGGTGCACACACACACACACACACACACACACACACACACAGAGAGAGAGAGAGAGAAGGGGAATATTATTCAGCCATAAAAAGGAGTGAAATCTTGCCATTTGCAACAACATGGATGAACCTCGAGGGTACTAAACTGACTTATTTTATTCAGTCAGAGAAAGACAAATACCATACAATATCTCTGATATGTGGAAGGTGAAGAAGGAGGAAGAAGAGAGAAGGGATAAGGCAGAAAGAAGGAAGAAGGAGAAAAAGAAACCAAACTCACAGATACAAAGAACAGAGTAGTGGTTGCAGGCAGCAGGGGAGTGATGGATAGGAGAAATGGGGGAGCTGCATGTTTTTTTAGTTTAAATAAACTGAATTTTTAAAAAAAGGATGGGTATCAATTACAATAAAACAAATATTACTTTTATTAATTTCTTATATAAAATATATAAAATCTTTCTTAATATACAAAGTATATAAAATCTAATAGGGACTTCCCTCGTGGAGCAGTGGTTAAGAATCCACCAGCCAATGCAGGGGACATGGGTTCAATCCCTGGTCCAGGAAGACCCCAAGTGCTGAAGAGCAGCTAAGCCCATGAGCCACAACTACTGAGCCTGCGCTCTAGAGCCCGTGAGCCACAATTACGGAAACCCGAGTGCCACAACTACTGAAGCCCACATGCCTAGAGCCCATGCTCCCAACAAGAGAAGCCATTGCAATGAGAAGCCCATGCACTGCAATGAAGAGTAGCCCCTGCTCGCCACAACTAGAGAAAGCCCGCGTGCAGCAACAAAGACCCAACACAACTATAAATAAATAAATTTTTAAAAATCTAATAAACATGCACACACTCTCCTCCTCTCCTCTCTCCTTCTTTTCCTCTCCCATTCTCTCGCGCCTTCAAAAATACCCTATCCATGATGCATAAGGTTCATATCACTATTTTGAAAATGTAACTTAAAGTATGAGGAATAATTTTCATTTATTGACTAATCAATTATAAAGTCCAAGTGAGTTTGTTTACTGGCTATAATTTGCCAGCCAATGCTCCAGATCACAAAACTCAGTTTTTATTTTCCTCTCCTTGTATCCCCTTTGGGCAATGCCAACCTTCCCAATTTTTCAATGTTTCATTCTTTCTCTGCACTAGTCATTATTCCCCTCGCAGCCTCCACTCACAAACCTCTCTAGAAGTGTCCCAAAAATCTTTCCCACACTCTCTACTTTCTCCAAAGAAAACTCCAAAGTCCCTTTCCCTCAAAATGTTGCTATGCTCTATCCTCATATGCGAAACCTATCTGTGCTTATATTAAACTAACGGTTATCTTTACAAATAATACCTTTGAAACTGGGAAAGAGCATAATGTTTAAAAACTCAAGCTCTAGAATAAGGCAAATACAGGTTTGAATCTAATTTTATGTGACTTCTGATGCTTTATATAATTTCCCTAAGCCTTAGATCCCTTATCACTAAAGTGAGTATATTACCTCACTTTGAATTGTTGGGAAGATTAAATGAGACGATGCTGCAAAGTGTCAGGCATTCGGCAGATTGTTTTTATTTTGTTTTGTCATTCATGGAAGTGATCTAGATATAAAAACCTCATCCAGAGATAGAAGCTTGGAAAAAAGTTTGTTTTTAAACAGGTAGACCTTTTGAAATCTCTCAAATTACCAATATTTGGAGCTCACCTCTTTCATAGAGTGGAGATTTAAGATATGAAAATCTGTGCAAGCAGGGGGAAACATGTAAGGAATATTAAAGTACAATTGATCAATTCATTCAAGAAATATTTACTGAACACATACTATGTGCCAGACACTATTCTAAAACTTACAACAGTATACAAAATGGACAAAGTCCTTGCCCTCCTGGAACTTATCTTCTAGTGAGGTAAGAGAAGATATTGAAATAGTATGTCAGACAGTGATGAGTTTTGGAGCAAAACAAAGCAGGATAAGGAAATAAAATGTAGGCGAGTAGGGGTGGTTGTTTTATACAAAGTGATCAAGGAAGCACAGACTTGTTAGTAGAGACACTGAGGAGATAAGGGATAAACGAGAGGACCATATCAACAGAACCAATGGAAAATTTTTGAATTTTATTCAGAAAGATGGTCAGTATTATGTCAAAGATGCTAAAGAAAGGATTTCATTTTTAGTAACATACACTTTTCAAAGTTTTTTAAATTAATTATGCTAATTTCTTAAACACTGTAACTTCAACAGAGTGTTTTTCCAAATAAATGTAAATCTGCAATTAAATAATGAAGAAGATTTTCTCTGTGTTTCAAATTATAGAATTTTAGAGCTAAAAGGACCTTCAGGTAATATATTTTTTCATATTAGGAAACTTAGATCCTTAGAAGGTAAGTGATATATCCATGTTCTACCCTGTTAGTTGTATCTTGCACTTCCTCTATTAAACAAATATTGGTCAAATGTTTACTCTGTACCTGCTCCATAAAGAAGATATTTAAATACAATTCTAACCCTTAAGGAACTTACAGAATACTGCCCCATAGTCTAATTCTGTAGCTACTCTTTGTATGTGTGGCTACTTAAAATTTTTTATAGCTTTATTGAGGTATAATTAACATATTTAATGTATACAATTTTGTTAGTTTTGACATAGGTATATATCTTTAAAATCATCAACATAATCAAGATAATGAACATATCTTTATCAATAACATATAGCATTTCCGTATTATTATTTTAATACTTGTAGAATCTGTAGTGATGTCACCTCTCTCATTCCCACTACTGGCCGTTTGTATCCTATTTTCTTGATTAGTCTGAGTATAGACTTATTAACTGTATTGATTTTATCAAAGAATGAGCTTTTGTTTAATTGATTTTCTCTATTTTTCTGTTTTCTACCTCATTGATTTCAATTTAATCT